TTGCCTATTATGTTTCCAAATTACAAACTGAAAGCTGAGTGAACAGTCTGCAACTGTTAAGAACAACTGAGCAGCAGATTTGAGCTAGCATCTTTAGTAAAAACACTGGCTTCTACTCACTTTCCCGTTGGGGTGGGCCTCAAAGGTTTAAGATAAAACAAGCCTATGTTAAGGCAGTTCCAAAAGAGAGGGGGAAAAACAAGCTGGAATTACATCTCTGCCAATGAGGACTAACAGAGGCTGCTTCAACCTGTTGGACAAAAGTGGAACCCAAGCAATATCTGAAATGGATGCTAACAGCAGGAAGGGGAGAGAAGCCTGGACTAAGAAAGCGCAGAACAGAAAACTTCATTTAGGAAAGAGCAAGAAAGGAGAAAGAATAGAGCAAATTTTCTTTCCACTGAAGAGGTGGACTACTGCTGGGTGATCCTTGTGGTCCCTTCCAACCCTGACAGATTCTGATCTGTTTTAGCAGAGGACTTTAGAGCCCTGATGGCTCAATGGTTGGACGTGATGATCTTGAAGGTCCCTTCCAACCTAAACGATTCTATGATTCTATGACCAAATGTGGAAGTACTGCAGTATAAGGGAGTTGAGCAACAGGGCCTGAAAGCAGTGATCAGACTGCTCAGTTTTTGTATTTCTAAATCGTTTTGTACTATATCCACTCAGGCATCAATCACAACTTTATTAAACCACGAAGTAGATGTCAGATCAATGGCTCTATCGGAAACATTTTGAATGACAGGCTGATGATGGAACAATTCCAGTGCCTCCATACATTATTAAACACATACTAATGCTGCTCTTTCAATGCCAGCCTTATGGACTGACTCTACTCTTCCTATATGGTACCTTTTTTAAGAGCAGACCTAACTGTAGATGAATATTACATAGGAAAAACAAGACTTACTGTAACAGATAATAATAAGCTAGTAAACAAAAAAAAAAAAAATTCAAGGTTAAAACTGGTAGTCTGTCTTCATATTATGCCTCCTGGCATTAAAATTTAATTTTAATACAATTGTAGGAGCTGAGGCTGCGCTGTCAGCCTTAATCAGAATATTCAGAGTTATCACCTCTTTGCTGTAATCTTGACATAATTTAAACGTAGGTTTTCTTTACATATTTGCCTACAGCCAGTAAACCCATGTAAATGCTTTCTGCTCTTTTTGAGTGAAGAGGTTTGCCTGAAAAATACATATAAATATGGCAGAAATCACCCCTTTGGCTGATGCTCTGCTTAACTCCAGACTCTAGGCAGATTTGGGGAGATGATCAGAGCAACACACTTGCCTCTTAATTCATCAGTAACATAAACTGTATTTTCACTGGCAGAAATCAATTTGATTTCCATAAAGGCAGAAAGGAATCATGTTCTCAGTGGATGAAGCACAAAGCACAGCAAATGGAAGATTCAAATGCTGTATGAAATTCTCTCACAGCACAGGAACATAGGGTCAGGTTCCCACAAACTCCAAATGAGTACCTGCTCTCTTGCCCCGGTACACTATACCATCCTTTGGCCTGGAATATTTGCTGTGGATGCATGTTTGCATGAGGTGGGCAGTAAAAGCAAGTAACGATGAATTTGCAGCTTCTTACTTGACCTGGCATCTTGATAGACTTACTGCATTCTCCTGACTAAGGAATGCTTAGTGTGTCAGAAATGTCTGATTTTATGCAGACAGTTCAATAACAGATAAGAACTAAGAATGTTAAAAAAGATAATAAATACAACACACTTTCTTTGGGGGTTTTGGAGAGAAAGAAAATATCTTGCTCCTATTCATGGCAAATGTACTCTCAAACAAAATTATTTGTGTTTTCTTGGGTTAGTAACTGAAGACTTCCCACAGCACAAGGGGAAGGCAGCTGACTGTGAGTGGGGCTGTAGGAAAACTGCTCTGTTTGGCTGCTGAATTGGATGGTCCCATCTGGAAGTGAGCAGCCCTGCCAGCACTTAGCCAGAAATGCCCCTCCTGGACTGGTGACTAAATAATCAAGTGCAGGCAGGGAGGATGGCAGCTGCCCCTCAAATTCCCATGTTGCTTTAACATGTGCTTCAGCTGTGAGAAAGCAAAACTCAAATCCAGTTTTCATTCTCAGGGCCTGAATTAGTAGAGGCTGCTCTTTCTCAGGTAACTAACTTCTCCAAAGGGCTAAAGAGTGCTCCTCTGTAAAGGGTTTCCCCTCTGGAAGAGCTCCAACATGGACGGAGTATTTTAACCTTTTAAGAGCAATAAAATGCTGAGTACCTCCCACAAGATACAAGGCATGCATAGGCCCATATGCAATTTCTGTAGCTTACTCATTAGAGAACAGATTTTCTATTGAAGCAGTGTTTTAGAAAACAAACATTCATCTTGAATTGAGAAAGTTTGGAAATGGGTTTGAAGTCAACTCTCTTAAGTTACCACAGAGGTCTGATTTGGCTGAAAAATGTTACGTTAATTACCAAAATGGTTTGTCTAAGGAAGTGAATGTATGAAAGCCTTTTAATAAAACTGTTTTGCATATGGCAGGCTTTTAAATAAAATTGGGACAGAGTTACCACCAACAAACACTGAGCAGAATTTTGTGAGTTTTTGGCTTGTTTGTTTAAAAAATCTGGTTCCTTGAAAGGTGGCTGGTGGCTTTTTATGGCACCCTGTTGCACAGTTTTAAGGATAAAATTTAAAAATATATTAATAGCAGAAATATATAGTTTATGTCTTATATCTCCTATAAGACTTAGTCCTGCTGAGGTATTCACAGTAGCATGATTTGGACCTGGCTTTACATTCTCAGTGCTCCTCTCTCTGGACTGAAATTTAGACTTCAGAATAAATGAATTAAAAATAGCTTCAAATAGATTGTATCTCTAAGTAG